CACTTAATATACTATGTATACTCTAACCATAGACCTATTAATAAGTCCATGCGCTAACAATACTTCCGGTAGACCTACACTACACAATACTTCACCAACTAGTTATAGCCGCTTGAGACACAGTATTGAGGGTACTATAAAGGGCCTATCGGAGATGTGTTAATAGAATGGAGCACAACTTACCCCTTTGTTTACCTTTACCAATATCAATTAACCTGTTTGATGAATGTCATAGAATATTTACTAAGTTTATTGAAGTCCGTAGAGGTTTGCAGAGCTGAAGTATAGGCTTCTAAAAAGTTGATTTCCTGGTTGAGCGACCTTTCCATAACTTCTGGGATGTGATTGTTGATTACACACGTGATTGACGCTTTACAATGAATGCAAAATGAAAAGCGGACATGAAATAAAAATAAACACACATTCTTTTTTGTCTTATACTCTATTGTTCGTTCGTGGTCTACGATCTTTTCTGAAGAGTTGCCTTACTATAGCCATAACCATTTCAGGCTATCATTAGTACAGAAATGTCACTTCACTGTATGAAAATGCCTGCTGTACATGTTGTCCTAGCCCAAATAGATGCAGTGAGCGAGGGGCTATAATAAGGGGGAGGGGAGGCGCGTATTCCCCCCCCCCATGTCGGCCAAGTATTGACCTATAGGCTGTCTCAGAACAGCTTATAAATGGGCCAAAACATATTTTAGATTTAACGGCATAACTTGCAGCAGAACAGTCTTTCCTTGTTAAAATCTGAGTCTTTTATGTTTATTTCAACCATTTTTTCAGGTATCTTCTTGACATTTGAAATTACATTGCGGTAGTGGGGGGGGGGGTGTACTGGGGGTACTAACCCCTTAAAAATATGTGAGGGGAAAATTGTTCCCCTATCCTCATGATCTGCGCACATGCTAACGTTGCTAAACGTCCTGCCCTTGTTATTATCCCATTAAGCCTGGTTTCCTGTCGACGTAAAGGTCAGAATTTCTTACGTTTCATACGATTCTTACGACTCTTAGACATAATTGTAGTAGCTAACCAGTAGTTGTGTGTATTTCTTTGTGAAAATCAGTACCGCGGCGTACTCATTTTCACCAAGGAGGTATAAAAATATTATATTATTTTTATACCTCCTTGTTTTCACAAAGCATTTGCATCCCCTCTTGGAAAGAGGGATTCGAAATAATTGTCTCTATATCTTCGCTAATTAAATTAATCACCGTAATTTAGCTTACACTTATGAATTAGGGAGCACTTAAAATGTGAAATAATTATTTCACTACCCGACAAACTCCGAACTTGATTCATTTATTAGGCCAACATAATAGTTTCATATTTGCTGTACTATACACTCCAACATCACTGGCGCATGGTAACAACCAACTGACTGCAGACCATTTCCGGCCAGCGATTTTTTTTCCGTACGAAACATTTACATGAAACTCCACTCGGGCCGTCTCGACTGAATCGACCCGAAAATTTCATAGTATTGCAGAATTCAGGTCAAAAGGTCATCACCAACTTCTGATCTGAGAGAACGTAGCTGTCTATTTTTTTTAAATACATTGATGTTACCATGATAATACTAATGGGTCGTTTGAAATGACATAATATTTGATTGAGCTGCACGAGTAAAAAAGTGTTATTTTAACTTGAGTTACATACTGTGGCAATTTTTATTTTTTAGTTAGGTCTGGGTTTTGCATAATTACCTAAGCCTACTACAAAAAATATACGCTTTCTGGGGAAAGCACAGAGAGTAAGGAAAAGCGTGTTTCTCGGGGCGTTTGATCAAATGAAACAGGGTGACAGTTATTTTCAAATTAAGAGAAGAGAAAGCTCTAAAATACTGGATGCCATAAGACCTGCCAAAACAAAGCACCAATGAATGTATAAATGAGGCCTAAACCTAGTTATTAATATCAGGCATAGTAATCTGCAGATTCTTGATTACAAGACTAGACCAGGTTAAATTAAATGTAATGCCGAAATGATTATTTATTATTATTATTATTATTATTATTATTATTATTATTATTATTATTATTATTATTATTATTATTATTATTATTGTTATTATGTTACTAAAAAAACCAACATGTAGGCCTACCTGAAGGGGAACTTAGGCCTAGACAATCGAGGAATTAGAGAACAATTAAAAAATCGACGTTAAGGGGAAATAACAGAAGATATTCCCCCCTGGGCTAGTTATTAATTATATATAGTAAATAGTATAAAAGGCTTAGGTCAAGGTAATTAATACTGAAATTATTATTATTATTATTACTGTTATTATTATTATTATTATTATTATTATTATTATTATTATTAATTATTATTATGTTACTAAAACCAACCTGTAGGCCTACCTTAAGGGGAACTTAGACAATGGATGAATTAGAGAACAATTAAAAAAATCGACGTTAAGGGAAATAACACAAAAGATATTCCCCCTGGGCGCGTTATTATTTATAGGCCTAGTAAATAGTATGATTCTTCATTACAAGGCTTAGGTCATGGTAATTAATGCTGAAATTATTATTATTTTTATTATTATTATTTAACATTAATTACATTAAAAGGTTGGTCAAGTTTAATAACGCCACTTATTGGTATATTTTATTTAATAATAATAATTTCTCTTATGCACTTTTTTTTATTTCATGCTTTAATTTTTTTTAATTTTTTTTTCAAAATTTCAATCAACGTCTGTATGTAAAGCGTGACTGTTGGTGTCAGCCTAGGAACCTAGGCCTATTAGGTAGGACTTAACTTAGCCTGTAGTAGTTAGGCCCATAGTTTATCCTCTTTCTCTCTAGCCTCTGGTATTACTGTACCTATCAACACTTTATAAAAGGGGGTACTAGCTGTTGTTGTTGTAGATATCATACTAACATTTAACTAGATTTGAACTCGTCACTGAGGACGAGTTAGGTGATCCGCCGCACTTTGACCCTCACGAAGCACGCACGTTTCTGATTGAAAAGTATTATATGCTAAAACATGCTCTATTTAAAGAGTAA